TGTCCTGCTGTCCTCGTACATGTCCTGCTGTCCTCGTACATGTCCTGTAGCAGTCTTCTCTGCCACTCCAGATCTCCTCATGTAACACCACACCTCCTCCCTCAGCACCCTGTCAGATGCTTTTTCTAAATCCACAGACACAGTGGAGTTCCTTCTGACCCTCTCTGTTCTTCTCCATCAGCATCTTCAAAGCAAACGTGGTGTTTTTTCTTGCATGAACCCAAACTGCTGCTCACAGATAGTTGCTGCAGAAATCTTTCATTCCTGACCTCTTAATGAGTTTTTAAAAGTTTTTATTGATAATTTTAATGAAGTCCCCATCATCAAATACAAATTTTTTTTGTAACGTTTTGTTTCTCACATATTGCACCATATTTTAACCCCCCCCCCAGGACATATAATAATTGTACGGACTATAGCCAACGTTTGCAGTAGCTTTGATCAAGTTTTAGTCTCCTTTAAACCTCAGTTTTTGCTTTTCTTCCAAAGGCAGCTTTTTGATTACACAACAGCTTTTAACAATAACTTCTATCTGCACAAGCAAAGTTTGAAGCTGAAAATAAAAGTAGAATTTTATCAAAGTTAGTAGTTTAATGAATATGTAATAAAATATACTAATTTTGGATAGAAGTAGTCAGAAGACTTCATCATCTTCTTGGTAAATGACCTGTAATTTAATCTGAAATATTTTACTTTTGTCTCTTTGGTCTTATTGTGGTAGTCCTCCTATCTATAAAAATGTTTTTCCTTATCTAAAACCTGTGCATACTTGGATACACGTTTACTGCTCTGTGAAATTTACATCTACATTTTCTTTTTACTCTTGGACAACTTAAGTATATACCAAAATAGTTGACACAGTTCAGGTGATACTTATGTGGTCAGATAAAATACAGCATATTGTCTTCTTTGTTGTTGTTGTTGTTGTTGTTGTTGTTGTTGTTGTTGTTGTTGTTGTTGTTGTTGTTGTCGTCGTCGTCGTCGTCGTCGTCGTTGTTGTCGTTGTTGTTGTTGTTGTTGTTGATGAGAGTTGCATTAAATCTCTTTTTCAGAGTAAGCTTTATTATCACTGCACCGAGACACAACGGGAACATGTACGTACAGTCCGAAAGCTGGACGGCGTGCACGAAGCTGCTACAATGAAAGTGCGGCCCCTTGTTCTTGTTCAGAACAATATTTTGCTTAGAAGAGAAAAGAGAAGAAAACGTGACATGACGTGTTCTTCAGAATATTTCCTGTTTGAAAGTTCATGAGCGGATCATTTTTAAATTAATTCTATCGTGCATCCCAAGTAATAAGTTCACAGCCTCGGAGGTGATGAAGTTGTCCATGTCAGACGCTGACTTTTATTTAGAACGCTTATGAAACTCTGCAGTTGAATGTAACATGGTGCTCTTTAAAAGTTAAGTTTCATGTCCTGTTTTGATGTTTTCCACCTGCAGGAAGGGTGACTACCACAGGTACCTGGCAGAGTTTGCCACTGGCAACCATAGAAAGGAGGCAGCAGAGAACAGTCTGGTGGCCTACAAAACCGCTACAGATCTGGCCATGTCGGAGCTGCCACCCACACACCCCATCCGCCTCGGCCTCGCCCTCAACTTCTCTGTCTTCTACTATGAGATCCTCAACTCACCTGACCGCGCCTGCAGGTAACTGCCTCTGCTAAACATTGCTACTATCATCTGTCTGCTCATGTTCCTCTGTAGAGGAGGGCAGCTGAGCTCAGCAAAACCCACAACCATGACTGAAAATGAGGATCATGGTCTGACGGAGCTGCTGCAGGAATGGAAGATGTTTCCTGCAAAGGAGACTGCTCACACTCACTGCACTGATGGGTGGCAATGTTTGGGGTGTCTTTAAACAATCACAATTATATTTTTATCTCCAACATAAATGCTAAGTATCAAGTCTGATGTGGTTTCGTCAGGTTGGCGAAGGCTGCGTTTGATGACGCCATTGCAGAGCTGGACACTCTGAGTGAAGAAAGCTACAAGGACTCCACACTTATCATGCAGTTGTTACGTGACAACCTGACACTATGGACTTCAGATATGCAGGGGGAGGGTAAGAGACTCGCCAAGTGCTCCTTCATCACTGCTTTTGTGTATGATACCGTTGTCTTCCTCTTACCGCAGAGTAACTTGTTTCATGAATTACTGTAGGTATTAACTAGTGTTGTGATAGACGATTCGATTCACATCTAGATACAAAGGTTA